CTTTATGCATTGGCAGCGGCTGTTTAATATTTGGGCTAAGTCTATTAATGTTTAATAAACAATTATTAAACAATTTATTGTAAATGTGCTGTAAATCTTTTGATCTGCTCATACAGATCTACCACATCCAGTTGGGCGCTTAATAATAATAAATAAAACACGGTCCGCTTGTTTAGGTATTGTGCCAGGCAATTACGCATTCGAATTCATTCGAATCATAACAATAACAGATCCAAATCCATCATCATCGAAACTGTTTGACATGCAATTCCGGGCAACAATTTCAAGTGAAGATTGTGTATATGTGGGTCGGCATAATGCGCTTTGATCTGCATTAAGTTGATGCCGTCGCAGAATGAGAAATGACTTTTACATTAGAACCATTCGATAAGGTGTGAGAAACTAGCAAAATTTCTTGAAAACGAAACATGGTCATTCTCTTTTATCAAGAAAGCCAGCCATATAAACTGAATATAGTAATTGCTAAATTTATATGTTTTTAGATTTTCAATAAAAAATTTTGATGTCTTTAATAATACAATAATACATTAATACTTTTATTATTTTAATAGTGAATTTTATTAATACATATATGATTAATTCAATAAATTATTAATTTGCATAATTAAGTTAACCCCCAAAAACATTTTCAGTACTTCTATTTTAATTGGACTACATTCAATTTTCGCGCCTCTAAAGAGTGCTGCCCATTTCCTAACAACACTGTTTTTAGTCCCATTTAATATGCGCTCAAAAAATACTGCTGAATCCAGCTGAATATTTTCGATACTGCCTTCCGATAACACCCATAACATATCGACTCGCGACACGCGATCAACTCTAACCGATAGTCGTAGAACAGCTGTTCCGTTTTTGCAATTTAGATTTTTCTTGCCTAGTTCAAAAGTTGTTTCTTAATTTTAATGCATTTGTGTGTGAAACGTACAAAATGGAGCGCAAAGAAGTGGACACACAACAGTTCATCGACCACGTAAGCCCCTGTCACAATTAGCAATGAGCGCATTAACATATGTTTCGAACAATTGCAACATGCAGACGCTGCTGGCAACGGAGCTGATGCAAAACAACTTTATGATGGATCTCATGGACCACACGGGTGTATTTCCGAAAACAGAAGGACCCACCAATCTTAGCACCACGGCACACCACAGCACCAACAATGGCGGCGGCTATGTGGAAAAACATACGCTAACACCGCCGGAGCTCAATTTTCATAATACGATCTTCCAGTTCGTCAACAAACATGTTGTCGAAGAGCCGAATGGAGCGAGGACAGACGAGGTGCCCGCTTCACCAGAACACACACCAAACAACTATGTCAAAGATACGGACGTGGAGTTTCTCACGCTCAACAGCAGTTTCTTAGATCGTGCTGATGCTGCTGCAACTGCAACAGCTGGTGGCAACGAGAACGTGGTGGGGCAGCAGGTGCCACAGAACACTTTTCCCGCCTTGGCCATTGAGCCAACAGTGCCCATTGATGTCAATGCAGCGCTACATGGCGACGATCTGCTCTATGCCCACAATGCATCCGTAACGAACGCACGGAAGGTGCTGCCCCATAAGAAACGCATTTCACGAAAGCTCAAGGGTTCTGTCTGTGGCCTTATGGAGGCTGAGCTGGAGCAGCACAAGCATCAGCATGTCGTGTCTACAGTGGCCAACTATAGCTGCGAAATATGCGGCTATGCAGTGAACACACAAATCGAATTTTATGCCCACCTAAAGGAGCACTACGATCCGGGCAGTCTGCAGCAGCGTCTAGATGTACCACAACAGCAGCAGCAGCAGGTGCAGCAGCAACAACAAGTGCAGCAGCAGCAGCAGCAGGTCCAACAGCAGCAGCAACAACAACAAAAGGAGCCGCTGGACATGTGCGGCTTGTCCGCGCAGGATAAGGTAAGCGAGATGAAGTCTCGACTGGAAGGTCTGCATCTATTGATCAGCCGGAATGATTAAGAAGGTGAAGAAGCTGAAATGTATCTAACACTTTATACCTTATCCAATTAGCCACAATCTAGACTAATAAACATCTCAATCTCCTTTGTAGCTGCAGCAAGAGCAAGCCAAACTGGATCAAGTGTTTCAGGATGTGCAGCTGAACTTTGAGAACTTCCACAACATTAGCCATGTGAACGACGATGTAGTGGACGATGTGGGCGTCAATATGGTCATACACGCGGATGCCATGTCGCTGCACAAAGCCGATGGCAAACTGACGCCTGTTGGAGCTGCGAATGCAACTGCAACGAATGCTGTGGCCGTTGTGGATGATGTGGAGTTCAGCGATACCGAAGATATGCTGGAGGGCATACGCAATGTGGTGGACAAGGTGTCCGTGGAGGATACCTGCGATGCGCCCTGGTTTAATAACAATTTCAGTGACATTGCCTTCTCGGGTCTGCTGCTACCGGGCGAACCGCCGCCGGCGCCACCTCCACCAGCGCATTCTCCACCCGCAACGACACTACTCAAGCCGTCAAATCACATGGATGAGCATCCGCAGGATGAGCAGCTGACGCTGAATTTCCTAAAGCAATCCACACAGCCCAAACTGGAGATGGGTCACAAGAAGAGCTACATTGAGGCAATTGCTGCAGCTGAAGCGGCGGCAGCAGCAGCGGCTGCCATGACAAACTCAACCGCAACCTCAATATCGCCGCCAGCACGCACGCCCACGCCCAACGATGGCTCCACCCCCGAGCAGCTGCAGCGTTCGCCTCTAATACTCAGTGAATCCTTGAAGCTGGAGGATGTAGAGAGCGCACCGCCCACAGGCAGCGCCAATTCATCGCCAGCGGCGACCGACATCATCGACGACAATGCGGACAGCTATCTCATGGAATCGGACAAGCCGCCGGTGGATGAGCCAAGCGATACCAAGCGAAAGTTTCACTGCGATATTTGCGCTCGAGATTTTAATTCATACAATGCTCTCAAGTATCATCAGTATACGCACACCAAGGAGCGAGCCTATCCGTGCAACGCCTGCGAGCGATCCTTCTACACGCAGAGCGCACTCAAGGCACATGAACGAACACGTTAGTCTTGTGCAGAACAGATCTTATAGGTCTTATATTTTTAATATTCTTCAACATATTTCAGATTCCGGCGTCAAGCCGTACAAGTGTGAGAAATGCGATTTCAAGTTCCGGCAGTGGGGCGATCTCAATTACCACATCATCTCACGGCACAGCGAAGTGAAGGCGCACATGTGCGAGTACTGCGGCAAGAGTTTCTCCCGGAAGTACTCTCTAGTGCTGCATCGGCGCATCCACACCAGCGAACGGAACTATGCTTGCCAATACTGTACGAAAACGTTTCGGGCCAGCTCCTATTTGTTGGCCCACACCAAAGTGCATACGGGCGAAAAGCCGTACTCGTGCAGCATCTGCGATAAAAAGTTTCGCGTATCCGGCGATCTGAAGCGTCACACACGCATACACGATCCTGCACGGTTGGGTCAAACCACATCGGAGTCGGCGACAAAGAAACGCAACAACAAACTTAAGCAAATCGAGGACGAGGATGTCGATGCGATCATCAAAAACAAGTCTGAAGCCCTGTGCGGCGATGCTGAACAGGAAATCTTGGGCTTATAGCCCAATGCCAAAAGGTTTCTACGCAAATAGTATTAGCATGACAAACACAAAGACGGCAACGTCTCTGTAGAATGTATATAGTTAAGAAAATGGAAAAAGAACAATGAATGTAATTGAAAGAAGTAGAGCTAATAAGTAGCCTTAGATTAATTCATAGAGGTTATAAATGATAAAACCGAAAAAGAGAGACCAAAATAAAATGTTAAAAGAAAATTTCTATATAAATGGAAAATCAAAAAAGTTGGAATTGTTTTGTGAGCATAAATAATGATACGATTAATCGATAACAAATTTAATTACGTTTAAAAATACCGCTCAAAAAGCTTGAAAAAAACTCGTTTTACAATTTTTTTTTTTAATTTTCGCTTACTATTGCAGAGCATTTCTTTATTATTTTTCATTATCTTCGTTTTTTTTTTTTTTTTTTTTTTTCTTTTTCAATAATTTCTTCTTCATCTTCCTTCTCTTCTCTTTTTGCACTTGTACCGTTCATCGACTTAATTCTTAAGATTTTTGTTTTTACCATTCATCTTGTTTAATGAGTAATTTTATACACACATATATATCTTTATATATATATATATATGTCTGTATATATACATATACATATATATATATATATATGTATAATTATCGTAATTATTAATGTAACTATGTACAACACAAGTGCGGTGGGGCCATTTTAGTGCCCCACCGGCCACAATGAAATCTTTGTATTTTGTTTACAACTTAACTCGTTTTTCATTTGTGTTTCAAAAATTATCAACATAACCTGCCTAACTCAACTCTTCTGCGTTTTCGTCTTCTTCTTGTTCTCCTTGATTTGTGTGCTTGTATCTTTTGTTTTCCTTTCACAATTTGCCTTTCACTTTAAACTTAAAAACTAGAACCTAGTATCGGTTGCTTCACTTTACTCTCTCTTTCTAACATACGCTCAGTCCATGATATCTTCCATCCTCCATATATATATATATAGATGTATACATATATATGTACTATATATAATATAATTTCTTGGGTTTCGTTTTTCTCTTTTATTTCACAAATGGTAAATTTAAAAAAAAATGATGAAAACTGCTTTCCTAGTACCTCACTTGACTCTAATCTTGCTCGATCTTTGATGGATTCATTATAGTTTGTTTGGTGGTGTGGATTATGCGTTTCTGGTAGGTTTCTCTGTTCCTCTCTCTTATCTCTCTGTGTGTGTGTGTGAGTTGGAAATTGTAGGGTATATGTGATTATTGTAACTACTTTTTCGATTTGAAACGGAAATATTTTGCTTGCTGCTCGCTGCTGAATATGATTTTAAATTAGTTTTACTTTTGCTTTGAATATTTTCGTTTTCTTTTAGTTTTTACAATATTTTATATGCTGTACTTAAAAATGTATGTCCTGCAGCTGCTGCATCTTTGCTATGGTTGCACACAAAAATTTACTGTTATGTTGCTTTTAAATTTAATATTGGGTTTATTTTTTTTTATTATTTTTTTGTTTTTTGGGTATCTTGGATTTTCGTTTTTTTTTTTTTACCATTTTTGTTTTGCTTACATAAATTGTTAAAGAAAAGTTAATGCTGCTTTACTAATACACTTAATGTTTTATTTGCTCTTGTTCGCCAATTATTAATTATTGATTACTTGTTCTTCTTCTTTGACTATTTTGTTGCGCTTAGCTCAATCAATTAATCAATCAATCAACCAAAAATCGTATTGTTTTTTTTTCTTGTGTTGGCAGCTTTTTGGTATTACATATATCTTTTGTTTTGTGTATTAATTTTTTTTCTCTCTTATTATTTTTTATAAAATAGCTTGCTATTTAATCTTGTACACTCAACACATTCAACTGTATTTCGTTTTATTAACTGCTCAACTGAGTTTGTGGTTTGAATGTTTTGAATACAAAAATGTTTATTGTTTTTGTTTTTATTTTATAATATTTTCATTTTTGTTGTTTTCTTTTGCTATTGTTGCCTGTTGCTGTTTTCTGTTTGTCCCCAGTGTTTGCTACGCTATTTTCTCATTGCCCGCTATCCTCACACTTACTGCTTCTTAAGTTGTTCTCTTTTTTTTTTTTTTTTTTTTTTTTTTTTGCTTTGCATTTTACACAATTTTTATAGAAATATAATTTTTTCAGTTTTTTAATATTTTTGTTTTTGTTTTGAGTCTTCGTTCTACAATCACACCACAATTTCTTTTTTTTTTTTTTATTTTAATATTTATTTTTTGTTGTTTTCTTTTAGTTTGGCTGACTGACAAACACATTTAAAAATATTAAAATACTTGCTAATAAATGTAGCTTTAGCCAAATTTCAAAATGATTTCTTCACCTCTTCTGCTTCTTGCTCTTCTCGCCTTCTATTTGCTGCACACAAATACAATATTTACAGTTCTGTAGCAACTACAAACACATATATATATATATATATATATATATATATATATATATATATATATATCTAAACTTTGCCAACTTTACCAGGATTTTGTTTTACTGCTGCTCTATTTATTTTATTTTTTATTATTATTTGTTGTTTTAAAATTGTGAAAAAATAGCTGCTTCTATTGTTTAGTTATTAATTTTCTTTTAGCATATTTTTTGTGTTTGTTTTAAAACTTGAATTACTTTTAGCTTTACATAATTTGATTTGATGATATTTGTTTGTTGTTGCTGCTGTTTGTTGTTGTTGTTTGTTGTTTTGCCTTTTGTTTATTGTATGTCTGCTGGCTGCCTGCCTGTGTCGCAGGCCGGTTTGATCGGGTTCTGTGCGCCTAATTGTGGGGCCAGTGAGCGTTAATCAACACTGGCTGCATAGGTACGTTTTTACAGTTTGCAGTTGTTGTTGTTGTGAATGGGTTGTTGTTGTTTGTATAAAAAGTCTTTGATTTGCCTTTTCCTTTTAATTCGCTGTTAGCGCGCTCTGCATTAGAGACTCACCTGCTGCATCTTATCAAAATCTAAACACGGCCTATGGGGTCGCTGCAGTCTCTGTGTGGCGGCAGCAACAGTAACGCCAGCATCCCCACCACCAGCAGCACCAACTGTTGCTACTGCTGTGCCGGTGCTGGCAACATTATTGCTGGGACGACGATGCGGCGAAATGGCGCAATGAAATAATTTCGCGGGCGGACTAACCGAGCGCACCTCCATATCCAAGCCGGTTGTGGAGGCCGGACTGCTTCTCGAGCTATTATAATGGAAACTATATTTGGGCTGCGGCTGGTAAATATGATGCGAACTGTTGCTCATCTTCAATGAGCTGCTGCACGCCTTTATAGCGCTCGGTTCGTTCTCGTTGCCCTCGTTGCCGGCTCCAGCTCCAGAGCCAACTCCAAATTTGGCGCATTTGCTGCTGTTGCTATTGTTGTTGGTGTTGCTGTTGTTACCGTCGCCGTTCTCCTCATTTACACTATTATCACATAATTTAATATTTTCGATGCCACATCTGGCCTCCGATAATATCAGTGGCGTTGTGGAGCGGAACATCATATGGCTACGATTTGGCTTAAATGCCTCCAATGGCGGCGATGTGCGAAAATTCACGGGCGTCAATATTGGCTCCAGCGAGTTGCGCAACTGTAAGAATGAAATTGTTACTTTTGAATCACTAATTTCATTTAACACCCGTCACTTTACACTCATTAATCTTCATTTTATACTTATCTCTCTCTCTCTCTACTCTTTACATACCTCATCGTCGGAGCTATGGGCCAGCGAACGCTTGCGATTCTCAACCATTAGCGTCGAGCTGGAACGCTTCGAATTGGATGTCGTGGCTCGCTCATCGTATGGCGCCTCCGTGTCCAGGGACGAACTGCAGCCTCGATTTGATAGACGCGATACGCTGGACGACGATGCCCCTGGACCGCCGCCGGCATTTGTTGCTGTTAGCGCCGCCGCTGCCGCTGCAGCTGCCTCGGCAGCGGCTACCGCTGACGGCCCATTGATCACCTCCAGCTCCTCCTCCGAACTATGCTGATCGTACATGAAATGGGCGCAGGATGACGACGACGATGTCTGATGGTGACACATCATGGCAGCAGCAGCGATCGCAGACGACTCGGATGAGCATGCAGTATCGGTAGTAGGTGAGTTAGCATCCGTACAGGAACTCAAGCCTGTTGAATGTTGACAAAGCACAATTTCAAATGATGATACAATTTAACAGTCTATGCAGATGGAACAAAATATCGATATCAATCATAGCTTTAACAATTATTCACGAAGTTCTTTTTGACAAAAAGCAATTGGCTACAAAATCCTCGACATCAATCAATTCCAAAACGAATTGTAGATTCAGAATTCTAATATTAGCCAAAATAGATTATTTCTATCATTCATATTCAAGAAAACATATACATATGTATGTATGTATGTAAGTTTGCTAAGATTTTTCTACACGTGATTATTGTTTCCTCTCTTTAATGAGTAATCAAGTGTCAACAAAAAATCGAGTTCTTATTGTCTCTGAAGTCTTTGAAACATAATCAAATGCCAGTCGATACTGATATTAATATCAATAAGATTATAGTTATAATTTTCGAAAAGGCATTTTTATCCTCATTTATTTCGTTTATCTCAATTCAGTTACTTACTAGTTTCCATATCCACGTCTAAGTGACGTTTGTTTTCCACATCGAGGAGTTCACCATCAGATTCGGTGCCAGAATCATTCGATTCACGCTGTAAGCACATTAAATAAATTATTAAACATGTCTTATTTTATTTGTTAGTTAATTACTAATTAATATTATGCATTGTACTTTCATTACTATTTTTGTATACACATGTATATATGTATTTATTTGTGCGTTTAGCGCCCACCTTTTTACGCAGAAAATTTTTCGATGCCTTTAATGAATTCTCGCGATTTTTGTGCCTGACAAACTTTATCATGATTTTTTGCTGTGTGCTTTGTTTCATTTATTACACATTCCACACGCACTCGCACACTCGCGCACTAGAGCGCACACACACGTTCGTGTTTACGCGACGCTGCACCCGCAACACAGAAAAACTTACTACTACGATAACGTCGGCGTCAGCTGCGACTGCGACTGCGACGCCCCCTTTCCAACACCTTTTGTACGTTTCTGAATGTGTGTGTACAGGGTGTCCGTGGGGTCCTCTCACTCTAATTCCTACTACTATTACTACATGCTAGTACTTTTTGTGCTGTTACGTTTTACACTCGTTTTCGGTTTCTATTTATTCGCCATTAGTATATGTATTTTTGTTTGTTATTTTTTTCTTTACTTTGCTTCCTGATTTACGCGACAGCTCGATTGCGCGCTCACTCACTCGCTTACGCTAACCCTTACTCTTTCTCTCTACCTCTCTGACTCTCGTTCTTTCTCGACGTCTCTTTCTCGTTCTTTCACTGTTGCCGCCTACGCGCGCCTGTTTGGCGCGTGTAAGCGCCGTTTCCTTTTTGTGCAATAATTTCAATCACGTTTCATGCGCGGCGTTTTGTTGTAATCTACACTGCTTTTGCACCACCCACAGCAACAACAACGGCAACAAAAGCAAGAAGAAGAAGATTGCCTCTTTACATATACATATGTTTATTCGTGCCAAGAGCCGAGCTGAGCCGAACCGAACCGAACCAAGCCGAGCCGAGCACCTTTCGCCGTAACTTATACAGCACGAAATTATCGATTTTCGGTCTCGTATTTGCGGAAGCAAAAGTTCTTCAACAGGATCCCACGACCAGACAGTAGTCGGCAGCAGTGTCAAGGAAAAAAAACACAACAAAAAAGCAGGAACAGAGTTCTGGCTAGTAGTAGAATAATAATATGGCTGCTGACTTAGTTTACACTTATACGTATTGATTCACTTTTTTTACATAGCTGTTTGGTCACTTGCTTTGCACAACATTTGCAAGCAGTTGCATTTTTTTTAGTTGCTGCAATTCTCTCTATGGCAGACTTTTCGGATCGCCGACTTATTACTACGTATTACTATCATCACCCGTCACCGGCTAGCGCTGTGCTCAAACTGAAAAATTATGGCCAAAAAATCTCTGCGCTGGCGCTGGAGCTCTGCTCCACCGACTGAGGCTGCTGTCGCTGCGCTCTCACTTGCAATTTCTGTACGCCTATGTGTGTGTGCGCTTGTGTACTTGTGTCTGTGTGTGTAAGCTTTTTGCACTGGTTGACTGGCTGAGTTGCTATGTATAGTGTGCGAGTGTGTGAATAGGTCTGCGGGGTGTAGACTAGGGGCCAAACATGCGCGCACAACTCGTGCCACTTCGTGCGCCTTCGACGGAGCTTCGGTTGTGGAAATGCAGCGAGTTCAGCAGCATGCTCGTAGTACATAGTATTTATGGGCAGAAGAAGAGGAAGCCGCGGCAGCAGTAGTAATGGCAGTCAGCGAGGAGCAATGCAACAAAAAAACACTAGCAGCAAGGAAAAATACCAAAGCGTGCAAATGTTGATAAAAAAAAAACAAAAAATTATTTGCGATAAAAATGTGGAAACATGACATGAAAAGAGAGATGGACACAAATATGGATGACATGTTCGATTGGCTTTCGTTGTTAGTTGAACGCGATACACGTTTCAATCACATTCAATTTGCTTGCAATTTACGCGGAAAATACTACGATGATGTCTACGTGCCCCACGAGCACAGACACACAAACACACTTACACAATTGCTCACTCAGAGGCACACTGACAAGTGCAGTGGAGGAGAGCGACCGACAGTTAAACGTAAACGTCTTTGCAGCCGTCGTTTTATCCGGAGCAGAGCTTCGCTTACCTCCTACTGCTCGACCACGTCGTCGTCTGACTATCGATTCCGCATTGATGTTGCTGTTGTTGGTGTTGCGTCGCCAAGTACTTTTGTTCCATTCATACTGTACACACACACATCCATGCACGCACACGCATGCACTTATGCACAGCGCCTCACGCAGTGAGCGAGCGAGAGCGACGGAGTCTGACGTATGAATATATGCATACGGTTTGTGGTGTGGGTGTTTTGGCTGTGGGGGGCCGCCAGGCAACACCAGCACCAGCAGCAGTAGCAGCGACTGCGTGGTGCAGCCTTGTTGGCTTCAGATCTAAATTTAGCATTTGGCTTGCAACTTCGCAAGGATTTCTTTACACTTTTTCCATACACACATACATACACACACGCACATGCAAGCACTCTAGCACTCATGCACGAACCGCAATGCGTGCTGCACGCGAAAACCGTTTGGCAAATATATCAAAATTTCCCAACTTACTTGAGTTGCTTTTTCCACGAAATTATGCGAAATTTGAAATTTGAGCTTCTTGTTGTTAATTTCCCTGATGCGTGGGTAGGTGGGTTGATTTGAGTGGGTGTGTGGAATGCTCCTGCGAGAAGAAGCTTGCGAAATGCGAATCAAAAACTATGATCCGGACTCTGGACAACAAAACAGCAGCAGCAGCGAGTGTCGAACGATGAATGGGGCTGCTGCTGTGTACTACAATTCAACAGCGACGGCAGCAGCGGCTACGGCTGCGGCAGCACCAGCCGCGACAGGCGCGTCGCGCTGGTTGGGGTGGTAGGTGTTTGTTAGAGCACGCGACGCGTTTTTGGAGAATTGACAAAACAAGCGCAAGCAATAGAGAGAGAGAGAGTGAAAGACACTGAGAGAATGTGAGGTTGAGCAATGAGAGAACGTGCCAACGTGCATACAAGGCTACTTATTTATGCATGTATGTATATATACATATGCATATGTATGTGAGCCTGTGTGCTTGCGAAATTGTTGCTATTGTAAGCGCTTTTACGCCAACTACAAAATCCCCAACGCTCAGGCCTGGGATGCTGGTGGTGCGCTCTCTTCGTTTTCTCTCTCTCGCTCTCGGTCTATTGTATGTTTGTGCGTGGCTTGCAAAAAAGGCAACCCAATAAACATTTCTCTAGACATCTAAAGCAATTAACTTTTCAATGTCAAGTCGCGACGCGCACCCTCCATACACATCTACACTCGTACACACACACAAGCACAGCACAGACAGCGTGGCTTTCTATTATATTTCACTATAAAACGGCACATTGTATACAGTACCCCACCTACTTACTTACCTGCCCAAGTTGCTTAGTTTCGCTGCACGTCATCCCTTCATCGTAAATGTTGAAGCTATCGGCTGCGTTGGTGATTTGCTTTTCAATTGACTTCAGTTCGTGGTCTGATATGAACGTTTTGTCCAAAACGAAAAGCAAGAGTGCGGTATCGGAGAGTGAGTGGGTGAGCACGAGAGTGGGGGCTGTCAAACCAGCTGAGCGACAATGGAAGAGGCAACAAGAAACGCGAGTGTAGTTTATGACGTCATAAGTGACCCTGCTGGTGAAAAATACACGGAGCTTGATCACGTATCATGGACTTATAGCACTGAGCTTTTTGACGCTTAGCATTTAACAATATAAATTAAATTTAAATCGAAATATCAATGAAGAAGTAAAATGGAAAATTTAGCTAGCTATATATAAACAAAAAACTTTTTTTTAAATATTTAGTTCATTTGGATGGTTTGTCTCCAGTAAAAAATTAACATAATATTCTTTTGCGATCTTTGCAATATTTACAGTTTTTTTTATAGATGAATTTAAACAACATTTTAATTCCAAAAACGCAATTGCGGTCGATAACACAGTAGCGATTACCTCTAATGCTGAATTTTGGCTAGTTGTATACTGTCGGCATATTTTATAGATAAGAATTGAACAGCTGTTCACAATTAATTAAAATTTTGATTGATTTATTTTGGAGTGTACTTTACTTAAAGAAGTTAAAAATTAAATAGTCATTGAAATTAAAAAAAAAACCTGTCGGTCATTATTTTGCCATTATTTACCTAAAAGAACATTAAATGTTTTAAGTTTCTGACGAAGAGATATCGATAGTTTCTTTCTGAGTGCAGCTTTAAGCATTATATCGATATTTTGTCATTCCCTGAGACGCGAAAATCGGAATTCAAATATTAAAACTGCTCTTCTTGACTGTGATACTCTTTATTATGAATATAGAAAATAGTCTATAAATAAATTGCATAAATAATAGAAGTATACATGAAATAATAGACTTAGCTTAAGTGTGCATATAATATAATTAGCTAATACGAGTACATAGGTATGCAAAAAGTCTACTTAAATAATTTAATAGAAAATGTTGTGCACCGAAATTCCAATTCGTTTTCTACCATTTTACTTTTGTACACTTTGGAATTTCTGTGCACGCCACAAACATACACACAATCAATTAAATATATACATAAGTGTAATTAGAATAATTTTGCGGCTTAAGAGCAATAAAAAATTTGCTAAAAGGCCACGCCTACAAATTAATGCATGTGAGCTCTAAACATTTAAGTCTTAAGTAAATATTACTTGTTCTGGCCATTTTTCGTATATAATTCTGTGCATAGAAACTTTACAGCTTGGCTACAAACTAATGTCTTCCAATTTTTCTTTAGTATACAATCTTTTTAAAGTGGAAATTCTGTATGTGACTGTAAATCTCAATCTTGTGCGGTAGAAACTACTATAACTTGTGCGGATGTGGTGGGTTTTCTCTTAGCTCAACTCGAATGATCTCATTTGATTATTTTTCGTTTTTGAGCGGCATGCCTTCCTCTTGGGCCACATCGCCAATCTTTTTGCGCTCTGGTGGATTATTCCAGGACTGCAGCTCACCAGTGCCCAGGATGACAAAGACAACAGCGGCCGAGATGTAGGTGCCGGCCAAAATCCAGAATACAATTTGCCATTGATGGAACGAGGGCTAAGAATGGCAAGAAATAAGTTAATATAATTAGATTATATTCATATTAAATTATTATAATTGACTTACATTTTCAAAGGTCAGCGCGCCGACCATCCAAGTGGACAAGAAGCCGCCAAAGGAGGACAAGGAATTGGCCATGCCAAAAATGGTGCCACTAAAGTTGGGTGCAATGTCCAGACCGTTACCCAAATAGCCAGCGGTGACAGCGCCATGGGCGAACAGGGCGAGTGTAAAGATGGCCACCGACCAGGCAGCATCCATGCCCAGGAAAACCTGAGCCGTCATCAGCAGACCAGGTGTAACAAGAGCTGTAAAGTATTATACAAATAAATATGTTTTAATATTGTATATAAGGGAAATATTATCAAAACTGTTTCATTAAGGCTGCAATAATAAACCTACCGAAAGTCGTGAAAATCTTGCGTGTCGCAGTCGTGCTCAAGGTGCCCTTCTGACGCAGATAGTCGGCCAGATAGGAGGAGGCCACAGCCATCACATATTTGCCTAGATAGGGCAGTGAGGAGAACAAACCATTCTGCAAGACAAAGAAAAATTATATTGGCATCAAATCCAAACAATATAAAGTCAGCCTTTAAGGACTCACCTTCTTGATGTCAAAGTGCAGAATCTTGGACATAAATGTAGGCAGCTGATTGATGACCGTGAAGAAACCGAACACGGACAGACCGTGGGTTATAATAATAGCCCAAACAGCAGGCGAGCAGAGGAGCTGACCCCAGGGCACATAGCTGGGCCGCTTCTTGGATGTGGATGTGCCGATGGCATCCTCGATTTCGCGTCGCTCCTCGGCCGAGATGCGCGGATGTGTGGCGGGAGTCTCATAGACAAATGTGAACCAGCACACAGACCACAGCAGACCCACAGCGCCCGTCAAATAGAAGACACTGGCCCAGCCGCAGACCGAGATCAAATAGCCACAGATGGGCATCGTAATGGCAGCGCCAAGCGAAGAGGCTGTAACGGTAAAGAAAAGGTTTAACATACAGAACATCAGAAAATAAACGAGATAAATCTTTTGCCTCTACTCACCCATCATGTTGGACATGAACTTGGAGCGATCCATGGGTGGAATCCAGACAGCGGCCACAGGATGTATGGCCGGCCAGGAGGCGCCCAGCATGAAGCCAAGTGCCACACGTACCACAATCAACATAACGTAGCTCAAATGCGCCGCCAGCGGCGTTATCAGGGTCAACAGACTGGCCCAGAGCATGGAATGGCCAAAAACGCGACGACCGCCAATCAGTTCAGCCAGACGACCGCCGGGCAGCTCGGTGAGGACATAGCCCCAGAAGAAGCAGCCAAGCACAAAGTTGGTTTGGTATGTGTCCCAGGGAAAGCGCTCCTCGATGACAGCAACGCCATCGCTGGTGGTGGCGTTGCTGAGGATGCCCCCACTGCTGCTGCTGCTGCTGCTGCTGCTGATACTCCCAGTCAGAGTAGTGTTATCTGCTAGGCTGGAATTGCCTGCCATGTGTGATGTGATATTTGGCATAACCATATCCACTATGGCAATGGTTAGGTTGACTAAGGTTAGGGAAAGATTCATGTAATTAGTATGCAATGGGAAATAGATATATGTAGATGGGAGACTTACCTCGCAGCGCATAGTTCAGCATAAAGCCGAGCATTGTCAGCAGATTCAGGACTTGACGGCATGATAGCATATCTGCAAGAGAGCAAACATATTTAAAAAAAAAACAAAAAATTAGTGATCGATGTAAAAATATATGGTAAAAAATAGCATATTTAATTAAAAAATGTCAATTTACAATTAATAAACATTTCTTTATTACTTCCGGAACTGGCTCAAACAAAACTGCACTATAGTTCACAGTTTGTTAAGCCAGAAGGAAATGGGCAGCACTTTGACTATGATTGGAAACAGAAAACTAATTGGGCAGCACTGTTGCTAAGCTAAAAATTATATTTAAATATTAAACTTAAAAAAAAGTTTAAGTTAATTAAATCTTAATTAACAAATATAAGCGAATACAAAAAAAAATATATAAATAAATAAATAAAAAAATATATATGAATAAATAATATTCTACAACTTTGAATTTTGAGATAATTTCAAAGTCTGCCAAATGTGAAGGTCATTTGCAAAAGCCTCTTCAACAATAAATCTCAGCTGACTTTCGGGTGGTCAGAATATTATCAAAATATATGTACATATAATGCGTATATACAACAAATTTAGATGTTATATATTTGACCTGACAGCGCGTGTATGGAAAAGTTCCTAGAGCTCTGAAAAAAAATTGTTAAAAGATGATAAGAAATGCTGGGGAGCTATCAAAACAAATCGAGGATCGGAAGTTCGTTCTGTCAAGCACATCAGGAGAGCTGGTGTGAACCGGTTTACAATTCAATGGAACAGGTTTCTGAATGATTTTATTACTATTTTGTATATATTTATACATTTCTTAAAAGCCTTTAGATAAGTTAACCTGGAACTATCGTACGTTGTTTACCAAACTGATGTAATACATTGTTTTCATTACATGTCTCGAGGCTTCGGCGTTGCTTTACAGATAAGCGCATTTATTAACTTGAATTAATGATGCGATAAAACTCATTTGCAATCTAACTGTCAGTATTTGACCTCAATACAACGTTAATAACCATACAAAATGGCACATCAATTTGATTTGGACAGACAACAGGTACCGATTGGGTGCTCCGCCCGTAAAAAGAAACAAATTAAGGCTATTACACACATTTTTCCTTTTAGCTGGTTCAGCCGTCGTCCACTTTATCATGATGTCAAACACACTTAACATGCTGATAAACTCATTTAACATCATGATTATCATTGTCAATTGCAAAGCGGTTCGCACATTTCCCCCAGCTCGTTAGTTATGAGCAAAATGAAATATAACCAAAGTGCATTGAGCCGCAAGGAAAAGGCGGAAGGTGCAAGATAAATGAAATTTGAATTGAACGAAGTTTGAATACCCTGTAATATATATATATATATATGAGTTTAAATATGCATATTATATGTTAGAGAGCAGAGAGTACTTTTAGAATGTTTAGAATGAAATATTGAAGAATCCTCGCTCTAACAATATCCATCAGGAAAAACATATTCCGGTATCTCAGAAGCCATGGTATATATTCATTCTGGATTATTTGTGTTAAATATGAAAAATAACACATGCGTGAAATCTTCCTAATTATCTCGATTTTGTCAAACTTTACATTCGAAATATACAAAAATCTATAAAAATTCTTTCAGAATCATATTGCCCTATTGCTTTACGCTTTGCATTCAAATCCCTTAAATTCTAGCTCGTTGCTTATAGTTCTGAGGCAACGCAACACTCGCCTTACAACTGGCTTACACTATATTAATAATAAACTGCATTCATATGGAGTGCCATTGAACTCCGGGTCGCAGAGGCGTCCAACTTTAATTTCCAACATTTGCGCGTGTGCATAAATTTTTTTCTTTTTTACTTTATTTTTTGTAAAAGCTGCTGTCAGGCAACAAAAGCCGCTTTAAACTGCAGTGAGCTCAGTCAAAACGGGCCGAGAAAGCTGTTTACTTATAATAAAACAATAATAATAATGAAAAAAAAAAAAAAACGTTCAACAGTCAACGTTATCAATGGGAAGCATGCGCCGGTTCCGCACCTCACCGCTTAACTTATCGCATGACATGTCTAGCACCTGTCTAGCCCGGCCACGCCCACCTGACGAATTTTATTGAATGTGCACAGACCTGTATCTTATCGAGAGATATAAAAACAAAACTTGTTCAACATATTTCAAAAGTCTGTAAGATGTCTACCGGATATTTTTGTTTCATTTAATTAAAAAGAAGAAGATACATACAAATATAATTAGCTGAATATGCTTAACTGTAAAATGTCAAACGATAATGCTCTTATACCAGTTTTTATGAATTCTTTCCGCAGTGGAGCATCCACAACGACCTTCACAATGCTCTTCAATTTTGTATTTACTTGGATTTTGGATTATCTCGAGAAGTGTAGAGAAATATAGAAACAATAAAAATTTTCAAATTCGTAAAGCTGATCTTAAGCTTTAATTGGCTTAGCATGCTCATGATCTTTCGATTTGGAGGCTTAACGTCATGGAAAACTTTGGATGAATGGCACGACATAAAACAATATAAATTATAGTATTTGCAATTTCTTCTATAGAAATCATGACACTTTAAATCAATGCTAAGTGAGCGTGCCTCATCGAATCGCTTTAATAGACTCTGATAAGAACACGAATTCACGGCAAAAATTAGTCTATATATACGTATTTATACCGTTTTAATCCGAGCGCGGATTTACAATGGCTATAAATAATATTGGTAGACGAGTATATGTATATACTTATACAGATTGCATTAGTCTAGACCGGAAATAGGAATAGCAATCAAATAATTTGATTAAAGTGTTGCAAGAAAAAATATTGAGTTAAGCTAAGGACAGTATCAGAATCAGAGTCTCTAAAGCCTCTTTAAGACAATAGCTAAGATATGAAATGAGACCATGAACTATGGACGAGTGCGAGGATTTCTCAAAGGAACTACACAATCTGGAAGGTGTTTATATGTATATTTTCTCTTCTCTTAAAATGTAATCAAAACCTTTCAAAAATCTCAACATTTTAAATTCCAGTCTCAGTCTTTATAGTATATAAATTCTTGCTTGTGTTAACCACTTTTAACCTCATCGGACACAAAAACGCCTTAACGCCTTCCAAGAATTCTCGATGTTGTCTGCCTTTCAGCCAGTTTTTGTTTTTAACTCTTTTACATAAGTAATTTTGTTATTTTTGATTAATTGTCGTTTTAAACGTTTTGCATGCTTTTGTTGTATTCGGCAGAAAACAAGATCCGGTCAGAACTAAATATTTATCATGTGCAAATAAATTAAATAAAGGTTCCACTTTGTCTTTTACAAACAATAACAATAAAAACCGGCTTTAACATAAAACAAACAAAAAATAAAAAATAAAAATAAAAAATAAATAAAAATTAAAAATTTCTTATTAATTATCAAAGAATTTGAGCCAAGGACAAAGAGAACAGTAGATATTAAAAATCAAACAAAAAAAAAAAAAATAAAATGTATTGAAATTCTTTTTTGTTATTAGCTTTCGTTTTTAAGGCAGACTAAAAAATTTACCTGAGCGAAAAAAAATAAACAAGTTTTTAATCTGAAATGACTCGAGCATAAGAAACGGTTTAAGAATAGCCCACTAAAAACAAAGTTCATTAAGAAAACATCAAAAAGTTCGAAGAAGTTTTGAGGGCAAACGTGATACTAAAAATTTATTTTTATGCTAATTTTCAGTCGCAGCATGTGAATCTTTAGCTTTAAGCTAAAATTTTGACTCATTCAAAACGAGTAACAAAATTAAAAAAAAAAAAATTTACATTCGTAAATGCAAAATTTAATTAAAAGATCGCAATGTTTTTGACCGGCCGCACAAATGTTTGTCAATAATTTTTCAGTCAATTTGCATTTCCGGCTTTTCATAATATATGTTGTATTTGAGAATAAATTGAATTCGTTTGCAAAATTTAAACAACAAGCGTCGAGAGGGTATTCTGAATCTTGTATGAAAAGTGTAAAAGAGAATCGAGTTATATTTATATAAAATATATAATAAATAGTTTATATTTAATATATATTATCATTATTATACACCAATGAGTATTTATGTGGCATGTGGATATTAGTATGAAGTACTCTTTGCACTCCTTCTATTTCTCCACCATACGCTTGGGAATAGACTAATCGGTATCACTGTGTCATATCATAGAAAGCTATGAATACATAAGCATTTTTTTTTTGTAGTTGTCTTATTTTAATATTTCTAATATTCCCTATGACCCCGCAAGGGTATATCGGCAACGTCAACAATAATTTCTTGGATGTATTCCGCTTTTAAATATTTGTCCGTCTATTTTTAAGATCTATATTATTCACTTCCTAAAGCTCAAAAACAAGAAAATAGAATAAGAATGAAAATGCCGGTCAATGGGTGCATGTGCTTTACTCCTATCCCTTTCTCTCTTTCCGCATACATATTTCTATATCTCTGTAGCTATACATTCGTGTCTCTATACGCCACAATTGTTCTTTTGCTTTGATTTTGAGTGCGTTGTTTCTTGACCTTCAAAATTACATATACTTATATATACAGGATAAAATTTTTCGGTATATATTTGTATATCTATTAAAAAACATAGAAATGCGGACTCGACTGACTGTTATAATAATTTAGTGGTATATAAAAACGTGTGGCATTAATCCAAAGACCCATGTGATCTTATGTTTTTCCAACTCAAATCAAACGTCAGACGCTTAGCTATACTTTTGTCAGCTTGCCAATAGACATATATTGGCAAGCTACATACATACAATATAAATATATATACATTTATAACTGTATAGCTATATAGATAGCTAGATAAGTATTTGTATAGATAGCCAATTTTATGAAGGCGCGGCCAAATCACGAATTCACTTTTCCAGCTATATAGTACAGTATAGCTACGTTATATATAACATTTCAGTTTGCTCTGCTATAAATGTGGCTTTGTTTCCACTCCCATTTCTAACTGTTGAGTCTGTCTAACTGAGAGTCTGTCCGTCGTCTTGTCTCTCTGTCTCTGTCAATTGTTGGCGCCGTTGTTGACTCGCCTTCCAGCTACAATTAATAGCTTGTCAGCTCGGTTAACCTGTAGATACACTTCCGTTTGCAATGTTTCGCTGCTAACTGATTTCCAATGAACAATTTCACGGAACTGGCCTTGCTTGGCACATTGTTTTTTACGAATTTTCATAGACCAATTACAAATTGGCCTAAAGCGTCGCTATGAAATTGTTGCCGCTATTGGCGATTTTCCGCGAAGAACCCAAACAATTTTCTTTAATGGCATACCAAATTTGTATAGATTTTCCTTTATATCTTTATTTTCATCGATAGGTCGTTTAATCGATAGACAAAGTTTCTTGTTGTTTTTTCACTAAATTTAAAATTTAAATATCCATGGTGAGATTTTAAACTATTTCTTGCCTGAGATTTATTTTCGCCTGACATCTATAAATATTATAAAATCGATATATATCGATTTTTGTTATTAGTGTTTATAAAGCATATCTTCTATCATTTCAAGTTCTGAGTTAACAACGACTTATATATTTTGGAATGTTTACATATTCAATTTACTTTCGATATTTATTGTCTACAGGGTATCAGTCTGATCCGGACTGTATCGCCCACACACCAATTGTTAGCTGTCCCAGTGGCTTTACCATTTAAAGAGTTTGACTTTAAGAATGCATTAAATTTATTTCAATTCGCAGACAATTGTTAAATATAAGCAGGAATTTCAATATTAATTAAAGACCTTTTCTTTAGCTCTTATCAAGAATTCAACTTGCATTGATTGTGGCTTTATATTTACATATGCACAATGCCAAGCTTAATTGTATAACAATTGTGCAGACAGGGTGACAGATGCCTCTTAATGCCTTCTAGCATTGTCCTAGTTTCATTCCTGCGGGTAAATTCCATGACGAACATGGAAATCTACTCGTGAAAGATTGGATTCGGAATTGCTGCTTGTTGTTGCTATTTTGTATATTGTTGTATATTGTTGTATATTGGCTGAATATTGCACTTGTCGCGCTTTAGTACAAAGTGCAATAGGGAAAATCTCAGCCGATGACAGCCGGCATGGCACGCCAGGGCAACAATGTACAAATCGTATCTGATTTATGAACGCAATTAAGACGAGCTGCTGATAAGGCCTGAGCACTTTACAATCAAATGCAGTGCTCAAATCAGCTGAATATTATGTCCCTGTATGTTAATTAACTTAAAAATTTGTTGTATAAGGAAATATGTAAATAATGTTCAAATTCGATGTGCTACAATATAAGGAAATATGTAAATAATCTCTTTATAAAGTATCAGCGATTGTCAGTGAATGACCTTTGCAATTAGATATAGGGTATATTTATTCATCAATTTCCGCACTAGATAACAAATACAAAATGCAAATGCCACGCCCATTCTAACCGCAAAATGTGAGCGATATATATAGAGCATAGAATTTCTAGATATTTGTATACTAAAGCATAATTAAACATTAAAGATAATAGCTCAAATTTCTAGCAAGTTTCATAAAACTTAAGCTGCCTTAAATGTTTCATA